TAACACTTAAGATCGTGTGAAGACAGTTCATTCTCCCAACGCAGGTTCCACTGAAGGCAGCCACTCAGACCCACTTTTGAGTTTCGGTGGTGAGGCCTGTGAACAGGTTTGCCATTCCAATTCTACCACCATTCCCAGTCAAGGAAAAGCAATAGAAGGGTCAGAGTATGTGCCTCCCGCCCCCCATGGGTGGAATCAAAGCCAGGGTGACAGAACACTTCACACTTTCCCCACCCAGGAATGCTAGGAGAGGGTTGTGAAGAAGACAAAGGACCCTCAGAAAATAGGACTGCACCGCCCACGGGTGACAGTAAATCCTGCCAGACTCTTGCCAGCAGCGCACTGTGCGTTTGGACTGATCAGCTTAGGTACGTGCAAGGATGGCCCTGCCGCTTACTAAGGCAGGCATCACATGGAAAATCTGTATGGGGGTGAAGTGCCCCAAGGGAAGTGGGGGAGACAAATGGCTGGGCAAATCCAGGTGGGATTTTGTGAAATGGCTAGTGCCAAGGTCTCCTGAAAATGTCATAAAAGAGGCTGGAGGAATATTTTAGATGGAGCCTAAAGAGCCTAACAAGCAAGATGCATCAAGATGCATTCGATGACTTCAATATGGGGTAAAGAGCAGGGCTTATCAAAGGCATGGCGGGGTATGGGGAATGATTACTGAGCTCTCAGATGTGATAGCAGTATTACGGAGTTGAAACAGAAGGTCCTCATGTTTAGAGATAGCAGCACTGTAGTACAGTGCCACACTGCAACTCCAGGACCCCACAAGAGAATTATTAAGACAGACAATGGCAGCTGTGTCCAGGGGCTGGGCCTAGGTCTCAACCTGCAGCTCTCAGATTTGTATCCCTGCAGTGGAATTTAAGCTTGACATTTTTCCCCCCACCTACATAGATAGAAGCTTGGAGGGTGGGTATTGTAGCCCCCAGACATCTGGCTCTACTTAAATCTAAGCAGCCCTGGTGGTGCTGTGGGCTAAGCGTTGGGCTGCCAACCGCAGGGTGGACAGTTCAAATTCACCAGGTGCTCCTCAGACGATCTATGCTGTCTGCTCCAGTAAAGAAACCCTATAGAAGGCCACTGGGTTGGAATTGACCCTTAAATTGAACACAAGAGGTATTTAATGGGCCCCACCAAACCCCAACCGCCCATATTTAAAAGCACAAGGCAAAAATCTTTTAAGATTCCAGAGCCACTTAATGCTCAGAACAGCAGTAAAACCCTGGTCTCCATGTCAGTGACACTTTTCCTGCCTCAGGATGAGTCAGGCTCGCTGCAAATCTAGTCTATTTGGACTCTCTACTAACCCCGATGAACACAGTGGAACTGCCCTTGCGGATCTCCAAGGCGGTAACTCTTTATGGGAGTAGACTCTTCTTTCTCCCATGGAGAGGTTGGTGGTTTCAAACTGCTGACCTGGCCGTTACCAGCCGACATATAACCACTCTGCCACCAGGAAAGAACAAATAATGTCAAGTTACCTGGAGGAAGGAGTAATAAGTGGCGGGGCAGCAGTAGCGGATGGGAGGGGACATGATTGAGAAACCAGAGGGACGGAAGCTGCTGGCCCTGAGCACACACCTAGCCCAGGCTTTGTGGGCCACACACATCTTTTGCCTTTCCCCTTTACAATCCTTCCAAAAGGTGAAAAACATCCTTAGCTCAGAAACCCTGCAAAACTCTTTCAACCAGCCATCCTTTTGTGGATGGCCTTTCCCACAACCCACCTGGCAGCACCTATTCAAAAACACAAGCTCAAAAAGCCCTGTCTCCCCAAGTAATTTCTCTTTCTGCTTCTAACTGTGGATTTGGAGTACCGTTGGGATACCTAAGTGCAATTAGGAAATCTCAATCGGTCTGGTCAACTGTGAGACCCCCAAACAAACCTATTGCCTGGGGCATCCCTGCCACTGTCCTCACCGCCCACAGCCCATCTATAGTGAGCTAGTGAGAGGCTGGGTTTGTGGACAGCCCATCTATAGTGAGCTAGTGAGAGGCTGGGTTTGTGGGGTGGCCATCAGACGTAAGCACTTGGACCCATACCAAAGGGGGGAACATCAAAGAGACTGTTGAATTGGCAAGCTGGGGTGCCATTATTAATGTTCCAAATCGGCTGTTGACCGTTTCAAATTTGCTTGGAGGACTGCTGGCCCATAAGTCACAGGTGCCATTCTTAGCCTCACAGATCACCCGGAGTCACCAAGCCGTTTCAGCTGACCCGTACCGTGGCCAGAGCATGTGGTAATGACACACAAATAGAGCGCAGGGACCCTGCGCCTGCCCGGGGTGGCTAAGTATCTGCCACACACCGTCCTTGCACAAACTCACCTCCCTGGATGAACCTTCCACCCCATACCTGGCGTTCTTAGAACGCCTCTCCACAGTGCCCTGAGCAGGGGGCACCACTCAGTCCTCTGCAGTCACTCCCGTCATGTCTTCACTTCAGCATGAGAGGTGCTCAGGCAGCCCAATGGCCACGTGCCCAGACACTAACCCAAAGGCGTCCAAACCCACCTGGCAGCTCAGCCGTATGAGAAAAGACCTAGCAACCAACTCCCATCAACCACAGCCTAGGAAGCCCGATGGGGCAGCCCTACCCTGCCACGTAGGGTTGCTATGAGCCCAGACCAACTCATCAGCACATGCCAAGTGTATCGAGGAGAACAAGCCTCCGTTATTAATGCTAAACCATTCATTCAATTATTGAATTACGATCATAGACCACCTCTGCCCTCCAGGCCCTAGTTTTGGGGGGCAAGTTCTTCACCCACCATCTGTGTGTGATGTCAGAGCTCCTATAAATATCTCAAAAAGAACCTGCTTAGCTCAGAATGCAGTGGCAACCACTGCCACCGCCCTCAGGACCCAGCTGCTACGTCGTCCAACAACGCTATTCCTCGGTTTTCTGCTTAGATTCTTTTTCTTAGAAGCTGTTGCTTTAACCCGAAGTGGGCTTTATTCCTCTTTCGCGTGTTCATGGAGAGGCATCGTGCATGCCTCATTTTTGGCAGGTAGCCACCACAAATAAAAGACCCCTGACAGCAAAGCCTGCATTAAGGAGAATCAAGTGGACAGCCTTGGAATTTCTCAAGAGTAACTGAGAGGTCTGGGGAATACCCTTATAACTTCATGCCATCAAGCCGATTCTGCCTCATGGCCACCCTGTAAGGCAGGGCAGAACTGCCCCTGTGCTTTCTTTCGCAAGACTGTCAGCTGCTTACAGAAGTCTCAAAAGCCCCCCTTCTCCCGAGTGGCTGGTGGCTTCAAACTGCTGACCTTGGGGTTAGCAGCTCAAGGATTCCTGGAAGTGACCTCATTTGCTACTAGGATACCTGGGTGCCCTTAGGGAAGTTTTGCGATCAAAATCCCGGCACACATGATGGGAATCACACCCATGGAACCAAGCCAGGAGCCACACCTTTAAGGCACCTGAAGAGCCTGCGGCGCTTGTCACCACGGGACTGTTCCGATTCTGCCCACCTACTTCCTTACTGGCAGGACTGTGTCCAATTCTGTCGACTCCGAGGAACGAACCAGCACGCTGAAAGGACTCAGCCAGTGTGTGTGGTGCTTGAGTAGGGGTGGGGCGAGTTCCAAAGGGTCACAGACAAATGGAATGAAGATTCTGACATTCTCCCACCACTTTTTGGAAGCCAGCGGCTAGCTGCAGAGTGGCCCAGCGGCCCAGCACCCATGTGGAGTGTTGGTGAGCACTGTGACCTCAGGCGCCTATCACCTCGATGGCCACCCACCACTGTACTGCCACGCCAGGGGCACTCCTGGTGTGGTCAGTGGCAAATGAGATCACTTACAGAACCCGTGAAGTATATGGCCAAACAGGAAAACCTCCGCACGCAATGGTTTTTATGCTGGAAATGGGAAATCACAGTATCTAAAAACCTCAGAACAAACAGCCTTCCTCCCCATAGTGTGGGCTCGGGCTCTTCCGTTTCCACACCCATGAATGGAGGCCAACCCTTCCCTCGGCTCTTCCTTTACAGCCCATGAGAAAGGAAACCGCCCCCCACCCCCACCCCAACGCAGGGACAGGAGTCATCTTGTGCTCTTCCTCCCCAGGCAAAAGCAGCCTGGGGGAAAACTCAGCCCACACTGATGAAGCTGAAAAACCCAAGACCACTCAATGACTCACGGATGTGGTAAAGCACCAAGAACCATCTCACCCAAGACAGCAACACCAGTAACGGGCACCAGGGGCTGCAGCAGCAGCAGCCGCCGCCCAGGGATCCCACGTGCATCATTGCCCGCTGCACCAGGCCTCTCTGCAGCATTGAAGAGCAAGGACTAACGTGCACCTGACTCAAGCCATGCTACTTGCAACCACCTCGCCTGCTAACTGAAGTTGGACAACGACTGTGGAAGGTACCACACATGGCCGGAACAAGTCTGCCTGCCTCAGAAACACAGCCGGCATGTGCTTTAGATGAGGATTGGCCAGACATCAGCTCACATTACTTCTGGATCCGTGAGCAGGAGTCTAGTCCCTGGCAAATGGTCAGCGAGAAAGATGAAGGCCCTCCAAGGAGATGGACTGGCAGTGGCTGCAACAATGGGCTCAACCACAGCAGTGACCGTTGCTGTGAATGGTCACCATGAATGGTCGTGGATTTCAGGGTACCTAACTAAACGGGCAGCTGACCCACTTCACCGTTAAGTCCAAAGCTCAGAAGCTTAATCATTTGCCCCCTGGTCTGTGCTTCTCAGAAAGGCTCTAAGAGCTAGTTGGAGGATGCTCAAAGTGAAGGCTCAAAAGGCGCCCTCCTCCTCTGTGAGTGCACCCCACCCAGTCTGACTCCCAGATACAGGTGGCTTTTCAGTAGATACCACCTTGCTCACCCCCAACCCCTAATCCCTCAGCTCAACCTCATTCCTTTGTGTGTGGGGTGAGGGGGGGATTGCAGGACAGGAGGCCGGTGTCTAATCGACAGACAGAAGGCCCCAAAAGTAACCCCTTGAAGAAAGCGAGGCAGCACTGACATCCGATCTGTAAGTTTATTTGCTCAATGTATGACAGCTACATGATGACTCACACCCATGATATTCCACCACTGAGGAAAACGGCTAAGCATGGTCCGTGTGTGAAAGAATCCCTCAGCACAACAGGGAGTTGGGAAAATGATCACTGATTAGACCTTAAAAATAGTTCACTGCATAACATGACAAAGAAGCACAGAGGCTCATTCAGAGAACACAGCTTTTGTTCTCCTACACTGTAATAGTTATAATTTCACCATGACAAACACCAGACATTACGATTAAGCTAACACTGGTGTTTCTTTGGCTCCCCCCACCCCCTTTGTAAAAAACAAAATAGAGAACTGCATGTCACTATAGCAACATCCCAAACAGATCAATTGGTTACAATCACTATTTGGTAGAGCAAACTTTACCCCCAAAAGGAAAAAATAAAAATAAAATTAAAAAACAAACAAAAGAACTTCAAAAACTTTTTTTTTGAAGACTTCATTTTTTTTCTTTTTTTTTTTGTCATAGGAATACATAACACCTACGGTATAAGTTAATAAATGCCGAGCTACTGTAGAGAAATACAACACCAGCATGCACAATATTGTAGAAGAGAGTGATGGAGGAGCAGTCATTTCATGGGAGACAGGCTCGGAGGCAAGGGCGTTTCTTTAAGAACAAAGAAAAGAAAAGAGACCAATCAGCTGCTGACAGGAGAGTCCAGGCCCTCTGCTGGCTTAGCCCTCAGGGCTGGTTTGGATCTTGCATGAAGTCTACAAAGCAGCCAGAGCCAAAGCTGAAATTCAAGGGAGAAAACACAATTTTGTTGTTGTTGTTGTTGTCTTCAGAAATAGGTTTTGTCATTCCAGTAAATCATTTCCAAATGCTACAAGGAAGGACACACCGCCACTCACACTGGACATGAAGACAGATTTGAGAACACCCCCACCCACCCCCAACCGGCCGGCATGTCCCTCTGGTTTCTGTCATGCCACAGAAGTGGCAGAGCCTTCTCCTCCGGGATTCTTCTGGGAGGACCAAATTCCCTGGGACTTCCACTTGGATATGTGGAGGGGCCTGCGAGGGACAGTCCTGCAGCTGGTCAACGATGCCAGGAGACAGAGTCCGTTCAGTCCACGGCCATCGGGCACCACCATTCTACCTTTGCTGCCACCCGGGATCCAGGACGCCTTCTTGTTCCGTCAGGACAAGCGCAAGTTTGGGCTTTGCAAACGCACCGGGGTCACTCTTGCCTCAATTAGCATCAAACCACTCCTGGCCTAAATAAGCAAGTAGACAAAAGGAGTTTGGTGTCCTTACCCATCTTGGGAGAGTTCACATGGTTACTCATTTTATTTAAAAACAAAACAAAAAACCCCAACAAACAAAAACACAAAACAAACACCAAGCTCAGAACACACATGCCGCAGGTCACTGTTCCATGGAGAAACAGATTTATCCCGGAGGAGAAACGAGGTCTCCGCCTGGCTAAGTAAAAATGTGTGGGGACACCGATGTACTATATATACTCATGTATACACCAGGTTTTCCCAGCATATTCTAATGCGGTTTTTGTGGTAAAATTAGGTGCCTCGGCTGATATTTGGGTCGGCTTCTACTCGAGTATATACGGTGGCTTCCTTCAACCCCCAACACACACACATCGAGGACCCAGGAGAAGTGGACTCTCCATACTTGGAGGCTTTCTTTAAAAGAACAAAAGAAGAAAAACCACACACAGGCACACACACACACACACATGCACGCGCTTGGTCAAGTAGGAGGGCATACTCATTACCTGGGAACAATTTTAATTGATCTTCCTACAATAATCACTTAAGGAAAGTGTTTTCAAGGGAGGATAAACTGATCACACTGCCAAGGGCCATAAGTCTGACAGGACAGCTGAGCTTAGCTTTTCCTTCTGGATTTTTCTACCAGTACACTTCTGGCACCTAGACCTTCACACACCACAGACGTTCTCGGATAGACCGCCCAGCTTCCACAACCAAAGAGCTGCAACACCAACCATGGAAGGTGGGGACAGGGGCTCGGAGGAAACAGAATCCAGTGAGAGGGAGATGGCAGTGCCATCCCTGAAGCAGCAGCTGGATGGCATCGGAGGAAACTAGAATATTCTTTACAAATGCCAACCCGAGGAATGGCCCACAGACCTGAACTGCCGCTGTTTTTGTGGCGCCGAACGTTTCTATTAAAGGGGATCAATGAGGAAAGGGCAAAACCCAAACCAAGCACCTGTTAGCCGAAACCTCAGGGGGGCTTCGCTTCCCTCAGACAAGCCGTCTGGCCCAGCAAACTGCAAAACCCACCTGGCTACAGCCACAGAGCAGAGCATAGCCAAACCTACTCGAGAAGAAAGAGACCCCTTATTCATGGCTCCCTGTCACACCGATGGCTGTAATGTAGAAACACTGTAAACTGCGACTGAGTGTTAACACTGTCGGCTAATCCAAACAGCCAAAAAAAGAGCTGGCAAGGCCTGAGCCACAAGGATGGGTATACCTTATACTCCGAGTCTCTCAATTGGGATTTAAACTCTTCCATGTCTGGTGGCATACACCCTGCAGGGACGGGAGACAAACGTCACGACTGAAACAGATGAGATAGAAAGTACCCAAAACGTAAGAGCGTATGTACAGGAAACCCTTCCTGGAACCACAGAACTTATTGATCGAGGGCCGTTCCACGCATACTTCCTTCTTGTCAGCAAACCCTAGCATCTAGCAATAAGTTAAAGTAAAGACGGGACAGCTCCACCTGCATTCCTCTACAGAACAGTCCAGACGCCGGTGCCAGGGCAAGGCTGCCGTGCCCATGCCAGCACAGCTAGCCTGACTTCCCACTAGTGGTGTTTTGGCAAAAATGTCAAAGAGGCGATCAAAGACAGGACGTGTCGTGTGGGCTTCCTCCCTAGGAAGGACACCCCTCCTTCCCCCTCCCCTCCCCGACCCCCAACTCATGGGAAAAAAATAAAGACTGCAGTAGTAGCATCAGCGTGCGCTGCCAGTCCGCCGGGGCCTAGTTGTTCCCTTCGCCGCCGTCGTCGTCCTGCTGGTCGCTTGTCCAGAGCGTTAGGTTGTCACGGAGGAGCTGCATGATGAGAGTGGAGTCCTTGTAGGAGTCCTCGTTGAGGGTGTCGAGCTCGGCGATGGCGTCATCAAAGGCGGTCTTGGCCAAGTGGCAGGCTTGCTCGGGCGCGTTCTGGATCTCATAGTAGAAAACGGAGTAGTTGAGCGCCAGGCCGAGCCGGATGGGGTGAGTCGGCTGCATGTGCTCCTTGCTGATCTCGTGGGCTTCGCTGTAGGCCTTCTCAGACGACTCCACAACAGTTGCCCGCTTCTCTCCAGTGGCGACTTCGGCCAGGTAGCGGTAGTAGTCCCCCTTCATCTTCAGGTAAAACACCTTGCTCTCGTACTGGGTCTCGCTGCAGTTCTTGATCAGGTAGTTATCCAGCAGGCTCAGCACATCCTGGCACACTGCCTCCAACTCCTTCTCGATCTTCTCGCGGTACGCGCGGACCATCTCGATCTTCTTCTCGTTGCCATCCGCAGAGGTCTTCTGCTCGATGCTGCTGATGACCCTCCAGGAGGAGCGGCGTGCCCCCACGACATTCTTGTACGCCACCGAGAGGAGGTTTCTTTCTTCGTTGGACAGCGGCTCATTCAACTCGGTCACCTGATAGGGGAGAGGAGAGAGAGCGGGTGGTTACGGTACAGACGATGTCAATTGAGCCAAGAATCTCTTTCATGCTAATACAACCCAAAGAGCTGTTCAGTCCATGACAATGATTAACAGCAAAGGGAGGTCGCGGTGCACGGGGAGGGGGCAAACTCAGAAGGAGTAAGACCACTGCTGGGGGCTGCTTCCCTAGCAAAGGGCACAGGTTTGTCATACCCGTTCTCGGAGCAAGCACACAAGTTGAATCTGCTGTGTCAAAGGCCAGCTGTTTTTCAGGTAGCACCATATACTATCCCAATCCCCGGGATTTATGTACCTCGGCAATACTGCAGACAGACTTGCCCCCGTCCTAGTCTCATCCCTGAGGGCTGGGGGCATGGACTGCGAGGTGGCCTTCAAAAGCTCGTGGAGAAATCCCTTTATCCTATCGTCCCCCTTCCCCACAAGCTTTTCTGGAGCACCGTCTCACTCAGATTAATCTTCAAGTGGATTTCTGAGAAACAAGGTTCATTTTTCTGCTTCTGCGCTAAAACCGCACAGATTACAAGCCTGGGGAGGAAGTGAGAGCAGAGGGAGCGAGTTGGCATCTGCCCACGTGAGGAGAGCTAAGTGGGCCCTGGTGGCGCTGTTGGGTACGTGTTGGACTACCAACTGGAAGAGGAATGGTTCAAGCCCAGGAGCTGAGTTCCAAGGGGAGAAAATGAGGCTGTCCATTTCCATAAAGACTGATATGGCCTTGGACACCCCGTCGAGGGTCGCTGGACTGGACTCAATGGAAAAGGGAGCAGATCTTTGCTGCAGGGGTCCGAGTGAACATAATTAGCAAGCTGAACAATGGAAAGAGAGAAAGTGAAGCACTTCTGGGCTGAGGTGGCCAGCAGGGATCAGTGCTTGGGCATGCCAAAAAAAAAAGTTTCTGCCTTCGTTATCCCAAAGACAAATCACTCTGGATGAAATGAAATCAACGAAATCCCCATGTTCATAGGTCAATCAAACTGCCTATGATGAAAGAACTAAATCAAGTCACCAACACTTTTATGTAAATTAGGCTAAACTCCCTAATGTCTGAGATATCAAAGCCATGTGCCATCGAGTATCTGAGAGTTTTCCATGAAGGGCGGGGCCCTTACCGTATATACTCGCGTATAAGCCAAGTTTTCCAGCACATTTTTAAAGCAGTTTTTTGTGGTAAAATTAGGTGCCTCAGCTGATATTCAGGTCGGCTTATACTAGAGTATATACACGGATTTTTTGTTCCTACCAAGGTCATCCACAGTGACCCACATCCACCCTTCTCTAACACAATCAAATCCGTAAGTTTGTATCCTTCCTTCAGGATCACAGGCACAATCCTCACCTGCTTGCCCTTCAAAACATAGCAAACTGTCAAACTGGCGTGTTACTTCTAAAAAGTAAAGTCTGGTCCATTTGTCTGGTTAACTGAGGCTGTAATATCTAAACTGGTCCATTCTGCCCCAATGGTTCCGTAAGTCACAACCCTGGGAATCCCAGAACAGTTTCTGCCTTATGCCTCCAAGAAGACTGGCTATATCCTCAGTTTCCTCCTGTGGCTTCAAGTTCATGTCACAAACTCTAACCTGTTTCACACTAACTTGTAGCTCCCAGACCTTTGTTGGCCTGCTCCCTCCTCAGAAAACACTCAAAAAAGCATCCACCCTCCCAGTCCACACCCCCAGCTATCAAAACGGACTTTCTTACCACAGCTCATCATCCAGGATGCAGGGTAGACATCTGCTTTTACAAGCCCTCCCCTGGATGGCTCTACTGTCCCCCAGGGTGCTCTCCCCCGCTGAGTGGGCAGTGACTGATGGCAGGGAGAAGATTTCCTGGTGGGTGCGCTATGAGCCTGCTCTCCTTCCACTCCCCGAGTCACTGGCTGCTTCCGTCTCAGAGCGCACACAAGTCCCAGAGCAGCAGCACCCTCTGCACGGTTTTCCGTCTAAGTGTGGAGCTTAGGGGATATCTATGAGAAAGTTAGTGGTCCTTTTGTGTGGGGTGGGGGTGGGGGTGTCAGTGGAGAGGGGAAGGCAGGTTGGGGTAGCAGGGACTGCATTCACATCTGAATCATTTGCTTTCCCCTTTGTACATCGGGCAGAGTAGGCTTCCTGCACACTGCTTATGGTGATTAACTTCAATATTCCAACTCAGATACAAGGCACAGTCCGCTGGACACCACGTGTTTCTCTAAAGAAATAACATCAGTGCCTTTCCTTACTATTTGTCATACTATCCTGATAAGGACATAAACTTAGAAATAGTTCACGAGCTGATTAGAACTTAAAAACAAAACCCTCTCAAATGTTACAAAGGGGCTTCAAAAAGCTCATGGGAAAATTCCATCAGCTTTCCATTTCATTTCTTCCATGAACTTTTTGAAGCCCCGTGTATACATTAGGACTCTCCATTCTGAGAAAGGGGCATCGGTAATGTTGAAATCCAGAGCGGGGAAACCCACAGGGGCTCTACTTCACAGCCCCTCTTTCCACCCCTCAACACCCCCCACATCCCTCATGTGAACCTCCCTGTTCCGGAATAAGGAGGCTAAACTCGGTCACCTCCAGTGCCTTTACTTTCTAGACCCAGTGGTTCTCAACCTGTGAGGCGCGACCAATTCATCACAGTAGCAAACTTACAGTGATGAAGTAGCAATGAAAATAATGTTATGGTTGGGGGGTCACCACAACACGAGGAACTGTACGAAAGGGTAGCGGCATCAGGAAGGTTGAGAACCGCTGCTCTAGGCCGAAGCTGCTACTGGTTACCCCTCGGACTAGTCGGTGTGTGCTCAAGTCACAGAGCCCACCTGGGTCAGAATGTCCCAGGTCCACCCTGGACAAGCTCCCTTCACTCCCCTGAACGTCTTCTCACTCTATAGACTGGAAACGCCTGCCTCTTCGCATCAGCCGTGCTCAAGGCAGTGAAGCGCTACAAGGTGAGCGCCTGTTTTCCGGGAGAATTTGATGGTCTTACGTTTAGTTCTGCTCAGGAGCAGGCCCCTTCAAGCATTGCAGGAGAAGACCCTAGTTTCTCTTCCTCTCTACCAGCACGTCCTCTCCGTCCCATGTTGCTTCCTCACCCTGCTCTCTCAGCGCCACCGCCTTTCCACACGGGAAGCTACTTACAGCAGCCAGCCTAGCGTACAACTGGTCTTTCAAACCCGGCTGAGGCCTCGGCAGGCCTTGGGCAGCCATACTATAGGACCGTAACTTGTCTCACAGAAGTTACCATACAGAGCTGGCAGTCCTTAGAGCAGTGGTTCTCTACCTTCCTCATGCCGTCATACAGTTCCTCATGTGGTGGTGACCCCCAACCATGACATTATTTTTGTTGCTACTTCATCACTGTCATTTTGTTATGAATCGTAATGTAAATATCTGATATGCAGGATGTATGTTCATTGTTACAAACTGAACATAATTAAAGCAGTGATGAATCACAAAAACAAAATTTGAAGCAGGGTGTAGCATAGGTAACAGCCTTCACACCAGGGACTCGTAGGTGGGCGTATCTGTACGTGGATGGACCCGCCTGGAGACGGATAGAGGAGCAGTGTCTCGGTTCCTAAAACCATTGGAAATCTGTGTTTTCCGATGGTCTTAGGCAACTCACAGGTTGAGAACTGCTGCGTCTAGGACCGTAACCTATCTCACAGAAGTTACCACAGAGAGCTGGCAGGCTTAGAGCAACCCGAGACCCAGAGCGCCCCAGGAAACTGAGATCAAGCTTTGGCCTTTGCCCTAAATCATGCTGTTCTTGCTTCAGAAGCCAGAAACTATTTAAAGCTCAAATCATCTCCCCATTAAGTCCCCTGGTTTTCAAACACAGATTCAAGACCCACTCATACTTAACCTCTTTTATGTTATGTAAATTCACCCTCACTTTCCAAACCAGCCCCTTCTCCAACAAATTCATCACAATCACCTTCACTTAGCTCCTAGCCTTTTCTTGCACTAAAACAGGGCTAACAGGAACTGCATACATCTGTCCCGGTGGTGCTGTTGAGTAAGCACTGAACTGCTATGCTTTAACCAGGCATCCTCAAACTGCAGCCTGCCGGGTGTTTTAGGCCCATTTGTTTTTTAATTCAAATTAAGATATGTGCAGTGTTCATAGGAATTTGTTTATAGCTTTTTTAAAAACTATAGTCTGGCCCTCCAACGGATTTGAGGGACAGTGAACTGGTCCCGTTTAAAAAGTTTGAGGATCCCTGGCTTTAACAATAAGGTTGGTGGTTCAAACCCACCAGCCACTTGGCAGCAGAACAGCGAGGCTGTTGCTCCTGTAAAGGTTTAGTCTCAGGACAGCTTATATTGGGGGGTGGGGGAGACGGTGTCACTAGCGTCAGAAT